GCATGCAAGGCAAGCGCTCTACCACTGAGCCACCTTCCCAGCCCTTGCTACTCAAGAATCTTGAGAGAAAGTTATTAATGAATAGATTATTAAGAAGTAGTGATCTTAGCCAGGGTTCTGGCGGCTCAGGCCTGTAAACCTAGCTACTCAGGAGGCTGAAATCTGAGGATCATGGTTCAAAGCCAGCCCAGGCAGGAAAGACTGAAACTCTTATCTCCAATGAACCACCACAAAACTTTGAGCTGTGGCTCAAGTGGTAGAGTGCTTGCCTTGAGCAAAAGAGCTCAGGGACAGCGTCCAGGCCCTAAGTTTGAGCCCCATGGCTGACAATAACAAAGTAGTGAAATTTGTAATAAATTCCTTTATTCGTTTCCAGATTTTTCTTAGCAGGACTTCGTATCTGAGAACTGACATATTAGTAGTGTTGGTGTAAGAGGCACAGTAGAGGCTGGTTATGTGAAGTTCTTTTATTTTAAACTCTTGTATTTATGAAAGATGGTGGTTTCACTTTAATACAAAGTTTTCTGGCTGTGAGTCACATCTGGGGCGAATTGTCTACTGTCTGCAGTTACTGTATGCCACCCTCAGAAGGATGGGGTACACCTCCTCTGCTTTGCAGTGACCTTTCTGAAGAGACACGTTCAGTGGGCTGTCTGTACGTGGGGATGTAGAAGGAGAGGAAGATTGAAACCCTGTGTTCTCGCGATGTCTCCAGAGGGGTTTTATTTTACTGTGCGCCCCTCAGAGGTGTTGTGAGAGGGTGATGTTTGAAGCCTGCTTCCTTCCCGTCTCCCTTACCAGCCCCTGGGCTTCCTTCTTGCAGGACAACTCGTTTGAATTCGAGAAACGTAGAAATGAGCCTGTCAAGTACCAGCGGGAGCTGTGGAATAAGACCAGTAAGTGCATGCGCAGGATTGGCAGCGTTCACACATTCTGACTTGGGGTTCTACTAGGAAGAAACGTTGGTTTGCTGTGTACATATTAAGTGTGTCATTTTTATTGCTTGGTTGGCTTTTATTCCTTTATTCTTGCTTCAGTGGGTTTGTTGCGTTTGTGTGTTTAGTCTCAGTGTTCCAGGTCCTTATATTATGAAATGATATAACCATTAAACTTGAGACGGGGAACTGAATAGCTATGGAAAGGACTCTGCGGGGCCCATGTTCACAGCACCTAACTCACTCTCCAAGGTCAGCTGAGTGTGTTTAGGGATGAATTGTTTCCGTGCTGTTTCATGATCTGTGAGTGCTCCTCACGGGTGGTGTTCGCTGTCATTGTTCATGCATTGCAGTTCAGCATTCACGTAGGAAGCAGCGGTGTGTGCACGTGTGTGCACGTGCGCAGGGGCACGCACTTGCGTGCGGGTGCAGAGATGAATGAATGAGGAGCCCTGCTGCTTGCTCAGCCTTCTGTAGATGGTAACTGGTTCCCATAGACCCACCCGCTCATCTAAAATAACACGTGTGGTGTCTTAGGTACAACAGTGCTGACAGATTCTAAAATACAGTTGCACTTGGTTTTTTTAAAGTCAAGACTCTGGTAGCTATTTTCCAAAGCTGTTAATTGTCATCAGTTCAATTTTTCTTTTTTAAGTGAAAGTAATAAAGAGAGGGAAGTTCGTTGAAGCACTTGTCCATAGACCCATATTACTTGAATGTACGTAAATTTGCTGATTTTTTAAAATTTTCTTTGTAGTTGATGCAATGAAGAGAGTGGAAGAGATCAAACAGAAACGCCAGGCTAAGTTTATCATGAACAGGTATGAGTATTTGTTTAGACTAATGATACAAATTAAGATTAGTTTTTTTAATTTTTTTTTTTTGCTAATGTGGTAGTGAGGAATTGAACTCAGCGTCTCATGCATTCTAGGCGAGCACTCTACCACTAAGCCACATTCCCCACCCAGATTAGTTGTTTTGTTTTGTCAACCCTAGGGCTTGAACTCAGGGCGTGGGCCTGGGCCTGGGCCTGGGCCTGGGCTTGGGCACTGACCCTGAGCTTGTTTTGCTCAAGGTTAGCACTCTACCACTTGAGCCACAGCGCCACTTCCAGCGTTTTCTGTGTATGTGGTACTGAGGAATCAAACCCAGGGCTTCATGCATGCTAGGCAAGCACTCTACCACCAAGCCACATTCCCAGCCCCAGATTAGTATTTTTAAGCCTTATTTTGACATAACCAAACTTGGAGGGGGAATATGTGGACCCCCGTCAGTTCTGTTAACATCTCCCACACTTCCCAGTTGCCAGGATGTGTGACGGGGGTGGGGCCGCTCGTGCAAGCACGGGAGGGCGGGGGGGGGGGGGGAGGATTGGCTGGCCGCCTGCGCGCTCAGTGTGGCTCACGCCCTAAAATTTCACTACCGTCTAGGGAATTGATGCTGTGAAACGTGGCAGAAACTGACACTTTGTCTTTGCTGTGTTCTGTCCTAGATTGAAGAAGAATAAGGAGCTCCAGAAAGTTCAGGACATCAAGGAAGTCAAGCAGAACATCCACCTGGTCCGGGCCCCGCTCGCAGGTCCGTACTGCTTTGTGTGTAGGAATTTAAGTACTGCTTTCAGTTGGGAAATGGAAAATAGACTCTGTGATCCGTGGAATTGGGAACCAGCTAAATTTTTTTTTTAAATTGTCTTCAAATAATTCTACTAAGAGGTTTTGATTTAACATGTCGATGTATGGGTACAATGTGTCTTGATTAGAGACACCCCTTCCATCCTATCCCCATCCCCAGCCCCATCTACCCATCCCCATATGTGTCCTTAAGTTCTAGCTCTTAAAAGAGTATTTTGCATATTATGCAAATACATCATGTAGTATGCTGAGTTGGCTAATAAGCAGTATTTAATGTTTCCCCGTTCCAGTCTATTATGTATGGAATTTCTTTTTCTTTCTTAAAAGCTGGTCAACCACATAGTATCTGAGTTAAGTCATTACAGATGATTTTTGCCTCAGTCTATTTTGATTAACGGACATTTTATGTTAATGGTTTTGAAACTCTGCTTAGGGAACTTAGTATATAAATACAAAGGCCTAGGTCCAGAGTAGCTCCTAATGTGATAGTGATTCTAAAATTTGGAGATTACTTTTTTTTTTTTT